TTTTCTATACCCACTGTGCTCTTTATGTGCTTGGGTTCATATTCATGCATGTGTGTTTTCTCTCACCCGCAGAACATGAGCACATTGCTGGACGTCGGGTCATCAGGAAGAGGAACCAGCTGCTGAAGACACAGCTGCTCACAGCCTCCATTGAAGCCGTCCGTACAGTCCGTTCCCAGAGAGTAGTCATAGCAGCCCGAACCGTCCTTCATGGGCCTCAGTCCTTCTGGGCACTGTGAATCATTTGGGAAGAGAGAGATGGACACGGAGATCAACATCTGCATGCTGGTCTGGACTTTCTGTTACCAGGTAACAATAAAAACCCTTGAGACCGCATGTACTGTATTCTCAGTGGGGAGTTATTATGTGATGAACAAAGCAGTTTCTCAGGAAGGAAAGAGTGTTAATGAGGGTTGCCAAGGCAGCACCACAGAATTCAGGAAAAGATCCAGAGCCTCAATAGGACACACATTATCCAGACATGTCAAACTGACCAGCCCACATATTCAGAGACAAGAGGAAGTCCAATTGGATTGTTGTGTTTTCTTGCTTGTGCAAAAGTAGAGCATAGCTTTTATCATATGGTTGCTAGAGTATTTTGTGTTGTAACTTACTTGCCCAAGTCTAAAGTCTCATTGATGTGGCTCGGGGCTCTCCTTTAATCTAAGTCTGAGTGATTTTTGTTCTCTGTATCATTGGGCAGGTTGAAAATTTTAAGTCTGATGCTTGAATGCTCCTCAACAAGCACATCTTAAGGTGTAATGCATGATGCATAAATAGTGTGAGATGACTTGTATGCCAAAGCTGAATGTCTGGGTTGTTTTCATTAGCCCCAGTTTGAGCAAAAGTAGCTTGATTTTTAAAGACCCCTGTGTACGCACGGTGAAGTTCTTTTTTTAATTATTTACTTAGGGGTACAACGAAGTTTGAAATACCCTTGCAGCTATGTACTGTTAGCAAACATCCTCACCCCTGGGTAACAGGTGCATTACACTCTCATAGTGATGTCCGGTTCGCGAACGAATCATTCTTTTTAGTGAACCGGTCGAACCATTTCACCAAGTCGGACTGAATCGTTCAAAACAGTTCGCATCTCGAGTCAGCACTGATCCACGATTTTCTAAAGTTTCTCACGTTCAGACATGCCTGCCAAGTCCCTACGACTCGCAATAAACCAATATCCCGGAGTTTATGTTACTCCTGTAACTCCAACAGCACTGAAACATGCTGTGCAGATTGAGAGAACTGATGAGCACGAGCAGCTGATATACTGAGCATGCGTGTACTACTGAACAAACGGTACGGCTACAGCGGTTCACGAGTCAACAATTCTCGAATCACCAGTACACTGAACCGAGAACCGTTTCTTTCGGACACGTTCGACATACTGAGAACCGATGAGCTGGAGATACTGAGCATGCTTGAAGCTAAAACTGATGCTGTGCTGATATTAATATACTATGAGCGCGAGTGAACTGAGGACTTGAATGAGGGGGCGAATTTGACGAAATTAAGTTTATTTAATAACAGATCAATCTTACTGGAAAATGCAAATGTAACTATATTAAACAACAAACATGATGAATATGCAACAACTGTTCAGTCAAAACATGTAAATTAATTTTACTATTTACTATTGTGTATGCACGTTATATTTTAAGCTTTATGAGCTGGATTTCTGTATGGTTACGGTTCTGTTACAGTTTCTGTAAAAAAGTTGGTGAAGACTTCACTTTCTTTATTTTCATATCTTTAAGACATCCGCGTTTGCACATCAGTACCAGTTTTAGGTGCTTTTGCAAAATGTAAATGTAAGAAACTTATCCAAGATGACGATGGTTATTACTATTTATCTTAAGTAATGATTACAAATTACTTTATTTTAATGGTTTGAATGTATTTTCATTTGCCAGGACGAAATAATTGATGTCATTACGTGAGGACGTAAAAGAACCAGTGAACCAGTGAAGCTACTCGCTACATCTTCTGAACACTTCTCATGTAAACATCCTTTATTCTTATATAAATCATCCAAAACACATGACAATCACATACAAGTCACCTGCTGTCGCAATCGTTTGTTTATTACCTTCATGTTTCACGTGTAGAAATGTTTCTCTGGCTTTGTGTACAGAACTGAACGCAGAAGTGTGGTGTAAGTTCGTCATCAAAGAGACAGGACGGGTTATGAACGTGTAGTATTATGAGTGACATATGAGCTGTGAATGAGTCAGAACAACAATTGGAAGAGAAAAAAGACTAATGCTGCGTTACAGACAACTCGAAATTTAGATTTTTTTCAATAAGAGGTGTAAATAAATAAGAGGTGTGTTCGACTTGAAGCAGCGCTGCACAGACCAATTCATGTATTACATCAAAGTACTGTGAGAGCTATAGTATAAAGAGCAGACGGCTGCTTATGCTTGTGAATTGCGGTACTTTGATGTCATACACCGACCAGTCTGCACAGCGCTGCTTCAAGACAAACACACCTAACGTCTAGCTCCAAACTCAGTCCTGGAGGGCCGCTGTCCTGCAGAGTTTAGCTCCAACTTGCCTCAACGCACCTGCCTGGAAGTTTTTAGTATGCCTAGTAAGACTTTGATTAGCTGGTTCAGGAGTGTTTGATTAGGGTTGGAGCTAAACTCTGCAGGACACCGGCCCTCCAGTACCGAGTTTGGAGAACCCTGGTCTAGAATGTCACTGGAAGTCGGACATCCAACATGTGAACTTGGGCAGATCGGTGAACCTCGACCTCAACGAGACACATCATTTGGAGTCACTGCTTCCAATGAGCATAATGTGGAGCTTATGTAAAACTTATTTTTTTGTCAACTGTTTTTAAAACAAATGGTAGCATTTTATGATAATTATTTTCTGTTTTTGCCATAATTGACACAAAAACACGATCCGCTCATGTTGCTTAGGTATGTGCATTCTGTCACTGTTTAAATTGCCCTGTCAGTCATCTTGTCACAGTTAACATCTTTCACATTTCATTTAATTTCATTTCCTACCACATTGTAGATAAATGAAGAGGCACGTTGATCTGCCAGTCACAGGTCTATCATGCCAAGAACTCTCCTCGTGTGTTTGAATAATGATGCTTTTAAAAGTTAATGACTAAACGTATCTTTAAAAAGTTCACAATGTTGTTGAAGATGAAATATAATGTGGATAACATTATATATATGTATATATATATATTTTTTTTTTTTCGTCTGGTTAGATATTATTTATCACTATTTATCACCCCTTTTTCTCCCTGTCTGTTGGTCTGGTATATCTGCCCTGTTTGTAGTTTATTAACACTTCTTTTATTCATGTTTGTAGTTCTAAATCCTCGTCCAACATGCAATGGATTATGGGCAATATTTGCCGTTGGAGTATGCAGTGATCTGCACTTCGAATTTCTAACGAAAATGGTAAACCATCCAGGTATCTCCGGAATAATCATCACAACATCCTTCGATTCGGGGCATACTGATTCTAATTTTGAATACTATTTGGGATGGATAGTATGCGAATTGGGAGACAGCAAAATATATGTATAGGCATAGATATGTATAAGTAGATTCAACATTTGACCGCTCCAGGCATATTGACACGTCCGCCATCTTGAACCGGTCAATGCATCGCCTCTCACAATAAAAAAAATCAATGAGTTTCATTGCACAGCCTCTGGTTGTAAAAAAACACCAAAATTTCAAATGCCTGAGGAAACTGGATAAACTTTAACAGGTAAGAATGTGTTGGTTTGTGTTTTTAATATTTATTAACTCAATATTTCAGGGTTTTTACAGTACCTTTTAAGTGTCATGTTAGCTAACAGCTTTGTTCCGTTGTATTGTGTTAGTTTAGCAAAATCATCAGCTGAATTCTATTGCAGATATAGACATTCATACATGCATATAACTATGGTTGCAGACATACATGAGTTCACAGGTGACAGATTACCTACGTAACGGCCACATTCTTATGGTAGTTTGAAAATGTTTACCAGCCGGAGTTAACTTTTTTCTGGGAACTTCACTCTGGAAAGCTGTTTCATACTCTTGAAATGAACTTCATTTTGGCCTGATTTTGTTCTAACTTATGTCTCACCAGTTCGTTCTTCACTCTTCCTCTAAGGCTGCCACAGCTTGCACTCTGTTTCTTTATAAGCAGTTTGTGTTTGGTGTAAATCTTGATGTGTTGAGTCTTTGCTCAGGGGCTCCCTGATCTATTATACTGAAGAATCTTCGATGAGAGAGTGCATTTGGCATTACACAGATAGATAGCCAATGAAAGAGATACTGGAATAAGATGACAGTCAACATCGGCACTCGACAAGCTTCACATTCATTACATATGTATCACATGTCTGTCCCGCGGGAGCTGGTAGTGTCTGAGCTGACTGACTTGACACTCAGCATTAATGATTTCACAATTTTCATATGAATACATGTATGTCTGTAGCAAAAACACATATGATCTAATCAACAACTGAAATGACAATTGTAGTCTGGCAATGTTACATCACAATTTATTATCTAGAAGTGCTACTGACCTACATGAGAGGATGAAAAACCATGAAAGGTGGTGTCTGTAGTGTTGCTCAGGTGACAGGATGGTGAATGCCATGAATAAAATTACACCCCCCAATCACAAAAAAAAAAAAGTAAAATAAAAATGAACGAATGAATAAATAAATAAAATATATTAAATAAGTCTGCAATTTCTTAATATGTTTTCACATTGAAATCTACAATGTTTTTGAAAATAAAAACATTGCACTAAGAAAAATTAAGCCTACTGTAGGACCATTAAGATTTGTACTTAAATATTACAAAATAATAACAAATTATTATTATTATTATTATTATTAAATCAGTATAAAGTAAACATACTTAAACAATTTATAAACCCATTTCACTATTTATTTATTTATTTATTTATTTATTTGTTTGTTTGTTTGTTTGTTTGTTTGTTTGTTTGTTAAAAAGGCAAGGATTATTTTACATAAGCAAAAACATATTAAAGCTTTCAAATGTAGGACAAAAAAACGCAGTGCAGACTTTCTTTCATGCAGGTCTTGACCAGTGTGTTTGCTTATCTGAGCTGAAAATTAATTCAGACATCCTGTATACAATCATCATAGCCATATTTTTCTGTATAGAATTAGACCATAAGGCAAAGCCACTCTTGAGGTCATATGTGATTTCATTGAGCACACCGCTTCGGTACCAGAGAG